AAACCCTCAGGATGGCGAGCAGGAGGAAGTCCACCACCCCGTGCATGGTCCCCCCCCGAGAAGCCGTGGACTCGGACCAGGAGATGGAGGACGTCACCGCCGACCCGGCCAACCCGGAGGACGTTAGCGTCTCCGAGTTCGCCGGCGGTCCGCCGGTGGAGCCGGGCGAGGACGCGGACCACCGGTCATTGGTGTCGGACCACTACCTGGACTCCAACATGGCAGAGGGAGGCTACGAGTGCAAGTACTGCAGCTTCCAGACGTCGGAGCTGAACCTGTTCACCATGCACGTGGACGCGGAGCATCCGGATGTCGTCACCAACACCTCGTACGTCTGCATGGAGTGTGACTACCACACTAAGAGGTACAACACTTTGTATACTTGGGTTTAATACTTTGTATACTTGGGTTTAATACTTTGTATACTAGTGTTTAATACTTTGTATACTAGTGTTTAATACTTTGTATACTAGTGTTTAATACTTGTTATACTAGCGGAGAGTAGACGCCACTATATCCAAACTCTCAAATGAGTGAATTTCCCCCAAAAAAATGTAGAAAAATTTTCCTTTGTTATTTTCAGCTTCACAAATGAGAGGATTTCATTGTTTTCATGTCCAGTTAAAATATTTTACTTGTCCCTTAAAGCTAACATCCAAACAGGAGCGCGCGCACACACACACACACACACACACACACACACACACACACACACAGACTCATACACACACACACAGACACACTGACACACTCACACACACACACACACACACACACACACACACACACTTCTCAGCTAGCTTACTTAACGACAACAAACACCAGCAGCATCCTAAGCTAACCGTAGCTAAGCTAGCTAAAACGTCCACAAGTGGCAGCGGACGTGAGGCGGCGCGCGAGACACAGACAACAGTCAACCTCACAAACCAGCATCTTCCAAAAATACAAATGTGTTAAAAAGACACAGAAGGATTTATAGCAGCAATAACCAACAACACAAATCATATATTACGTATAGAAAAAAGTTATTTCAGCAGATAAAATCACAGTTTAAGTTTAAATCATGTTGCACCAAAACTTTAAAAATAGCTTAAAATTAAGAAATATTTAATTTGAACTTCTCTTTAAACATCAGTTTAGTTTTTACTCACTCGAACTTAAACTGTGATCCAGTATTAACTTTAAACTTACACTTGAGGAGGTTTGCTGTTCATTTTTTAAAATCTTTCTATTATTTGTTCTGCCAACTTTTTCTAAAAGGAGGAAACATTAGAGCTTCATGAGTAATGCTAAGCTAAGTAGCTGAACGTAAGTTTTTTTTAATTTGAGTAAGCCAGCATCACGTTGATTAAACTCTTTAATTTTGGTTTAAACTTGGATTTGCTAAATTAGTTAGATTAGATTAAACTAACTAGATTAGTTTTAGCTCTACTTTATTTAAAACCTTTATTTATTTCATTTTAAACCCAGTTTTACTGGATGAAATGAGTCTGTTTTTGTACCCTAAAGTTTGTCTGATTAAAGAAGTATTGACTGGTTTCTTCCCGTCCAGCTACGACACCCTGCTGGCCCACAACGCTCGCCTCCACCCGGGCGAGGACAACTTCACCCGCACGATGGTGAAGCGGCACAACGAGACCGTCTTCCAGCAGACAATCAATGACCTCACCTTCGACGGCAGCTTCGTCAAAGTGGAGGACGACGAGGGAGCGGAGGAGACGTCCCGCAAGAGCATCGCCCTCAGCAAGACGCCCATCATGAGGATCAGGAGCCGGGCGGAGCCCAAGAAGTTCGCCGCCATGCACAAGATGGCCGTCGACGACGTCATCAAGGTGGAGAGCGATGAGGACGACGAGGAGCCGCCCGCGCTGTCTCCCGCCCCGATGGCCGCTGCCGTCACGCCGCGCCTCATTCCCGTCTCCACGCCGCTGCAGCTCCACGCCGTCCCGCAGAGCATCGTGGTCAGCAGCTCCAACCTGCTGCAGTTCAAAGGGGGCTCCGGCGGCGGCGTGTTGCCCCCCGGGACGCTGGCTCAGGTGCTGTCGGCGCTGCAGAACCAGCAGAACTGCAGTCAGACGCAGACGCAGCTCCTCATCCCCATCAGCAGCATCCCGACATACAACACGGCCATGGACAACAACGTCCTGCTGGTCAGCGCCTACAACAGGTAACCGCTGGTCACGTGACTGTCAGTCAGCATTTAGTGTTAAAATAATCCACTCTATGATGCAAGTAGCTTCTTCACCCTCGGAAGCAAATTTAGGGTGTTTTTGCAATTCTGCAGAACAATCATGACTAGTAGAGAGAACTCAAACATGTCTTTTGTGCAAAATAACCGTTATAATGACATAAATCATAAAACATAAATATATATTGAACATTCACATCTTTACATCCTCTACTTCCAGCCTCTCCTCTCTGCTCTGTGTTCAGAGTTTCTGTGATGTGACTGTTGGTCTCAGATGAATCAATCATGTTGAGGAGCTCAGAATTAAACGCTTTTTGCAGGATCTGGTTACTTTAAACGGTTTATTCGTGGTGAGATTTTAAATGTAGAATAAAATGTTTTAGATGAAATATCATCATTTTAGCTTCTGTTTAGTTGCTTTTTCTGAAGGAAGCGTTCTTCGCTCAGAATGTGTTCAAAGACCGTCGGAAAGATGAAAATCTGATGATAATGATGTTTTTTGCAGCTTCTGGCTGAAATGAACGGTGTACTTTTGGCTAGTGTTAAAAAACAAACATGCTTTTCAATCCCACCGGCGGGTTTTAGTATTTTTATTTTTATTTGGAACAAATCCCATGAAAAGACCGAAACAAAATGTTGAAGTCCGTCTCCCCACTGAAACAATTACAGAAAATAAACTGGCAACTATTGATAATTAATAAGGGAATTATCATTTTAATCATTTTGTCAATAAAATAATGCTAAAGAATAGCTGGAAATGTTTCTCAAATGAGATTATTTGATGCTTTTTTTTTGTCTCTTTGTCACGCATGATATCTTTTTGTCCCTTTAGGTTGATATGTTTAATTTAACTAAAACATATTTTTATTCTACTGTAATCTTTCATCAAACTCTTGCACAATAATTTCCTTCGGGATTAATAAAGTTCTATTTTATCTAATCTTATCAGTACACAAGTCTTGTTGTTACGTAAGATATCATCTCATGTCGACTGCAGAGACTTTATGTTATAAATAAAGTTGTTTTTTTTTGTGTGTCTCAGGTTTCCGTACCCGTCGGTGTCAGAGATCATGGGTTTGTCTTCACAGACGAAGTTCAGCGAGGAGCAGATCAAAGTCTGGTTTTCTGCTCAGAGGCTGAAACACGGAGTCAGCTGGACGCCGGAGGAGGTCGGTGGTCATCCACACCCGGGTCTAAATGAATCACTCACATTTTTAAGGGTTGCAAAGGGTCCAGAACTCTTCCTCATGCCTTTTACCTTCTTTTACATGTTAGCTAAGTACATGATTTAGGCCTCAGTTTGGAGAAAGGAAGTCCAAGAGGAGGAAATCCTAAAGGGTTAGTTGAGATGTTTTGAACTGTGTTTGTATGAGGTAACTTCTCCATAGTGGGCGGATTCTAACACTCCTAAAATAATCAGTGTCAGTGTACGCTATGTTTTCACCTATTTATCTTTACCCTTTCTGATGGGGAGCTATAATCTCTTTAAAGACACCAGACTCCATTCACAAAAACATTATTATTAATATTAATATTTGGTTTCGATCTGCAGCCGTCACTTTATTACACAATCAATTGTTCCCATTTTTATTTATGTATTTTACATTTGTTGTTCATCACAACAGCAGTTTGTTTTCCAGTAATAAACCAGCGCAGCTCGTCTTTCTCACCAGCTTTGTGCTTAATGTGCTGGTGACACGATCGCCAAAGACGACAACAGCATCTCCAAACTTTTAAGGAACCATAATTATAATTGTAAATTATGATTTATTTTATAAGAAACATAATGTAACAAATGGGGAAAGTAGAAATCCCCTGAAGCAGAGATTCTTTCTTGAAATTAAACGTGTGAAAGCGCAGGATGGATAAATATAAATTTAGGTAATTTGGACAATTATTATTAAGAATTCATATTTATTTTGGATAAAGGAAGAAATAAGTTTGCTAGGAATTCGTGAGGAATTGTGATTTATTATTCAGTACTTGATTGTTAATCTGATGAGATGAGCTGTGTTTGTTGTGGCCATGTGTGTTTGACTTCACACCAGGAAGAATATTCAACTTCTGCTCGTGCTAATGTGCTAAAGTCAGTATCATGTATCAGAGTCTCGTACTCTTGTCTCTGCAGGTGGAGGAGGCGAGGAGGAAGAAGTTCAACGGCACCGTGCAGACCGTCCCTCAAACCATCACCGTCATCCCCGCCAACATCGCCGCTGCCGCTAACGGCCTGCAGTCCATCTTCCAGACCTGCCAGATCGTCGGCCAGTCGGGACTCGTCCTCACGCAGGTCTCCGGCAATGGAAGCGCCGTGCCGGTGGCCTCCCCGATCACCCTGACGGTCACGGGCGTCCCCGGCAATCAGCCCAAAGCCGCCGAACCGTCCGCGACGGAATCGAAGACGGAAATGTCGGCCGGTGCTCTGGACGCTTCTTCGGCGGGGGCCAAACCGAAGAAGTCGAAGGAGCAGCTGGCGGAGCTGAAGGCAAGCTACGGCCGCCGGCAGTTCGCCACCGAGGCGGAGATATCGCGACTCATGCAGGTCACCAAACTCTCCAAGCGAGCGATAAAGAAGTGGTTCAGCGACACGCGGTACAACCAAAGGAACTCCAAGGATCACCACGGTGTCCTGCTGAGTGAAGCCCCGCCCGCCAAAGCGCCGGGAGGAGGAGGACGAGGAGGGAGGAGCAGCGGTGGCGGCAGCCTTAACGACAGCAACAACAGCGACAACAACAACGCCGGCGCTGCCGCCACCATCGTCATCGACTCCAGCGACGACGCCGGCGATTGCTCGCCGACTTCCGCCAACGCCCCTCCGTCCGGTTCCGCCAATGCCCCTCCGTCCGGTTCCGCCAGCGACCCGCGGGTCAAATTCCGCCACGCCTTCCCCGACTTCACGCCGCAGAAGTTCAAGGAGAAGACCCCGGAGCAGCTGCTCATCTTGGAGGCCAGCTTCCAGACATTGGACACACCCCCGGACGAGGAGCTGAGCCGGCTGCGCACGGCGACGAAGCTGACGCGGCGCGAGGTGGACGCCTGGTTCACCGAGAGGCGGAAAATGCCCTCGAAGGAGGAAGAGGAGGAGGAGGAAGAAGACGACGACGAGGAGGGGAAGCCGGCAGCCGGGGCTTCGTCCACGCCGCCCTCCAGCAGGAAGTTGGTGAAGAAGACGCCGGAGCAGCTCCACATCCTGAAGAAGGCCTTCGTCCGCACACAGTGGCCCACGTCGGAGGAGTACGACCAGATGGCGGAGGACAGCGGTCTGCCGAGGACGTACATCGTCAACTGGTTCGGAGACACGCGCTACGCCTGCAAGAACAGCAACCTGAAGTGGTACTACCTCTACCAGAGTGGGAAGGTCAGTGTTTTTTTATTTTTTTTATTAAAAACACATGCAGTAGACACTTCTCTTATTTATTTTTTAGGTCCTTCTGTTTTAAAAAAAAAATATTAATATTATTATTATTATTGTTGTATGCGTTTCAGCTCAAAAAGGATGTGCTTGGGATACTGGTAAGATTTTGAAATTTGGCACGCAAGGCAAAGATGGCGAAAATTGCAGTCTGAATGTGATATGTTGGCTTGATAGCGCCCCCTTTTGAGTAGCCCCTACATTGGGTTTCACCTAGATGTATGAAATTTGGTAGGTATGTGTAACGGGATTGGACATACAAATAATCCTCTCGGAAGTATGCCCTAAACCAAACAGGAAGTTGGCATTTTTAATTTTCTGATCGTTTTTCTGACCATTTCAAGGCGTCCTTACTTTAACGAACTCCTCCTAGAGATCCAATTATATTTGTACTTCTTGGGAGAACTTTTACTTGGACTCTACTGTAAAAAAAAATAAATACATTTGTGTTTAAGGTGGACGAGGCGCTGAACGGCGGAGTTAAGACCCAGAAGAAGTCCAGGAAGCGTTTCCGCGGTTGGTCCAGGAGGACGCGCCGGCCGTATCCCTGCAAACGCTCGCCACAGGGGGGCGCCACCCCGATCAAGGTTTGTGTGTCCAGTTTATTAGGTACACCTGGCTGAAACTAATGCATACTTTTGAAGTAGCTCCTCATAAGACAACATATTTCCCTGAATGTCAGCTGACTTTAGACAATCTAAGTCAAAATGTTGGTACTTTTAGATGTAAAGTTTGTTTTTCACGTCTCCGTCCTGCAGGTGAAGTCCGGTAAGTCGTTCCTGAAGGACTACTACCTCAAACACCGAGCCCTGAGTGAGAAAGACCTGGACGACCTGGTGACGAAGTCCAGCATGAGCTACGAGCAGGTGAGGGACTGGTTCTCCGAGACTGCCAGGAATGTGGTGGAGGGCAGGGAGCCCTTCAGCGACGAGGAGGGAGAGGAAGAGGAAGAGGAGGAGGACGAAGAGGAGGAGGAGGAGGAGGAGGAGGAGGAAGAAGAAGAGGAGGAAGAAGAAGAGGAGGAGGAGGAGGAGGAGGCTGAAGCAGAATGTGCAGACAGCGAAGGAGAGATGGAGGTGAAAGAACAAGGAGAAGAAGCCACTGATGACGACTGCAATGAGGAAGAGGAGGAGGAGGAGGAGAAGAAGGAGGAGGAGGAGGAAGCCGAGGTGAAGGATGAAGGTGAAGCGATCAAGGAGGAGTCTAAAGGTGTCAGCCAATCACAGCCCCAGGCAGAGGAGCAGACATGAGAGGTGAGTCTGTTTCACTAAACACAGATATAAACTGGTGATGTAGCAAAGAATGTGATGTCATCGACACCTTGTTATGAAAACAACTGTGAAGCAAGAATCCCTACGAATACTATACTTTGACTTTTATAATGGCTTTTTAAATATATTCTATGATGACATACTATACTGACTTTTTTCATGACTTTTTACGACATGCTATACTGTGACTTTTTT